GGAGGTTTGACATGTCAAATGTTGTAAATGAATTGTAATAAGGTCATAGGCCATTGTAGCATGTTTAAAGTACCATTTTACACTTGCGTGTATGTTCACATCATCAAAAACTTGCATATATTTCATTTTGATCATGCCATGGGGAATTCAAATGAGGCTTAGGAACCCATTTCAGCCTTGGTGCATAGCAGGTCCATTGTACACGTTTTTTACCAGTTTCGGTCGACCGGACCCCTTTTGGATTTCATTGTTCAGCAAAAACTCTAACTCTAGTAGCCATTTTCACCATCGAGGCTTATTTCGGTCGATCGGTTCTCTACATTGGTCGACCGAAACTCATTTTTTTCATCTCGAGCCTTAAACCGGTCGACCGGTTTGTCACTTCGATCGACCAAACTGAGAGCTCTTTTCTCTTCTTTTTCCAGGCTTATTTCGACAAACCGATGCTCCATTTCGGTCGACTGAAATGGAGCTGCCTTGTTGATTTTGTTTGGTTGCTGTCTCTTCAGGCTTGCACCAACTAGTTTACTTACACTCAACTTCGTTAATCATGTTTGGGCCATGTAACGGCATATGTGGTCTAGTTGAACTAGGTTTTGTTTCCTTTGGTTGTCATTGGTGCCATAGGGTACCATTTGACCCTTTCTCTTCATGTTTCCGCTTGTAGTTTTTTCTTTGAGTTTCATGACTACATAAAAAGTCACTTAGGTGTCTTAGGGACGATTGATATCCCTATAGACCTTGTTTTTAGTTTCACTTTCGCATTTCGGATCCGTTATCGGATCAACTTTTGGTTCATCACTGACACACCGGGTTGAAAAACTAGGGTCGTCACAGATTCATTCAAATTTGCCAAGGCATTTTTATCTCCAGTAACGTGATTGTTACAGCCACTGTCAATATACCATATATTTTCTAAAACTTCTTCTTGTGTATTGCAAGCCAACATGAAAACTCCTTCTTCCTTTTCTTCTTCCTTATGTATGAATGTCAAACTGTTGCTTGTTTCATTATCATTCTTTTTGAACCAGCAATCTGCTTGAAAATGCCCTAATTTTTCACAATTGAAACACTGGAGATGATATGAGTCACCACGACCTCTACCTTGTCCTCTGACTTGGCTTCAGCCTCGACCTCAGCTTCGACCTCTATTCGTTCTTTTTCCTCTTCCTTTATTAGGAGAAAAATTAGCATTTTCCTTAGACTTAAAAATTTTTCCTTCACTATTTCTTCCTCTTCCTTGGCCACCTCGATCACTTCTTGTTCCTCTCGAACATTCTTTGAAAGAAGTTTGAGCATGAAATGCTTGTTCTAGAGGCATTGAATCAAAATTCTTTAATCGAAGCTCATAAGATTGGAGTGATCCCATCAAGCTATTTACTGACAAAGATGACAAATCTTTTGACTCTTCAATTGCTATAATGATGTATTCAAATTTTCTAGGCATACTTCGAAAGATTTTTTCAACAATTTTTTGATCTTGAATATCTTTTCCATTCACCTTCAATTAGTTAGTGATCGAAAGAATACAATTGAAATATTCTTCTACACTTTTAGAATCTTTCATCTTAATCGTATCGAATTCAACTCGAAGAGCTTGCAATCTCACCACTTCAACTTTATTTTCACCCTTATAAGTGGCCAGTAACGTATCCTACGCTTGATTTGTTGTAATAGCCGTCAAGATTCTTTCAAAAATTACTTCATCAATTACTTGATAAATGAAGAATAGCGTCTTCCTGTCCTTTTTTCGATTCTCCTTCAACTCATTGAGTTGTGCTTGACTCAACCCTACTTGATTCTCCGGTTCTACAAAACCGTTTTCAACAATTTCCCATAAATCTTGGGATCCATACAACATTTTCATTTGTATACTCCATTGATTGTAATTCTCCCCACTAAACTTGGGAAGTTAGGGCTGCAACATGTTGTTAAATGCCATTTTTCTTTGCCGATCTTTTAACAAAGCTCTGATACCACTTTGTTGCAGTTTGGTGGGTAAGTGAACACAAATGGGATACACTCACATATATTCAACTGAATTAGTAAACACACAATTCAGAAACACTCATTTCTATAAAACTGAATTATTTATCTTGTATTGCTCAATTGTTTGTGTGTATCATACACTTACACGACTCACCTATTTATATTACTCCATATATACTTCTAGTACATGAATTTAAAATATACAATAAACCAAAGTATTTCATATGAACCAAAATATTTCATATATTAGCAATTATTATGAAATTCTTTTTACCTTCTAAGCATCATTTAATCTTTTTAGATAAGTCTAGATTAATCTTCCTACACCCTCTGCCTCAATCTTAAGCTTTATTCCATATAAAATACTACGTTAACATCTTTGGTGGCGGCGGAGTAGTCTAGACCAGTGGTTTTGAATATTAACCTCCTTATCTTGTTACAATAATATTCTCAAATATATATAATGTCCTTTTCACATTCTCATTTTTATTGCCAATAAGACACCAAATTATTTATCTATATATAATTTATTTATTTTCTTCTTTTTAACTTTGACCCGCAGCTCAAAAGGAAAACACACAGAGTGAGAAAAAAGAAGTTTGACTTGCAGGTAAGTGCACGTAGCAGCCATGGCCATTCATATATATATATGAATAATTATTTACTATATATTAAAAGCTACTATCATTACACCAGTCTCAAAATTGGATTAATTAACTGCAAGCCAACCCGAATCGGTCAGATAGTATCTAGTTTTGTTAAGGGTTCAATTCTTTGTTTTAGTCAATGAAGTTATAAATAAAAATATTCAAGAAAAAAAAATAAAAATAAAATAAAGCTCTTACTTCGTCATGAGTCCTTGTTTGGTGCGCTTGTCTGTTTGTAAGACTTTTTATTTTTTTCTTTTTAAAATTTTTATTATTTAAAAACCATAAGATTTTATTGTTTGCAATGGTAGAGTCAAACTATCTTTAATATAGTACAGGCTCAAGCGTAAAAAAAACTTTCTTAAATTATTGTCCTTTTGAAAATAATTTTTTAAAACTACAAATTACTCCTAAAATTTTAATTTGTTATAATTAAGGATAAACTCTTCCAAAAGAATATTTTACCATATCTCATTAAAATTTTCATTTCTTATTAATTTTTTATTTTTATTTTTATTTTTTATTTTTATTTTTTATTTTGACCTTTTCTCTTATCTAACTATTAATTATATCATTTACCTTAATTTTATTATTAGTATTAATTTATCATAAATTGGAAAAAAAAAACAAATAGATTTGTTTACTACCATTTTCTAAAATTATTAACTTATTATTAAAATTTTACTATTTATAATAAAACTTATTATACTTAGTCTAAACTCTTTAATTTGAAAAAATATATTCTTTTTGATACAATATTTAATATATTCATGAAAAATTAATAAATTACTTAAATAAAAAATACCTTCTTTTTTTATTCAATAAATTCATGTAAAATTAATAAATTAATTAAATAAAAAATGCCTTCTTTTGTATTCAATAAATTTATGAAAAATTAATAAATTACTTAAATAAAAAATACCTTCTTTTTTATTAAATAAATTCATGAAAAATTAATAAATTACTTTAATTTTTTAAAATTTTCTACTTAAAATATTTATTTAAACATTTAATTTAAAAAATTAAAGGTAAATTTATGCAAATTTAATGGTGAATATCATCAAATTAATATGATTTTCTTTCATAATTTATTTCAATAAGAAAAAAAGATGAAGTGTAATTCAATAAGAAATTGCATTATGATCATTTAATAAAAAATTGTTAAAGGCATTGGGGGCATTTTGCAACTAAATGAGATAGTTTAGGTAGGTATGATTCACATGCAAAATATAATTTAAGGAAATTATTTGCAAATTCGGACATAATTCAGGAGTTTTTTTTTGCACTTTACCCTATAGTGTACAGCAAATAAGACACTGGCCAAATTCCGAGAAAGAAAAAAAAAAGATAAAATAAAATAAAATAACCCAAAACAACAAATAAGAACAGAAAATTGATTCTCATTTATTCATTAATTAATTAGTAAAAGACTCCTCTTACATGCATTTATAGCTAGAAAACAACCTATTCACTCACATCTACATTGGGATCACTTAAATTTCCTTCTTGAGTCTCCCTTTTTTTGTGACTTTGAAAATGAGCTGACAAATTATCCACATACTTGTCTTGTGTATTCCTGTCACCAAACAGCCCTCTCATCTCCTTGGCCTTGTCCCTGAATATCTTCCCTCCTTCTACCATCACCAACCTCAGTGACTCAGCCACCGAGTCACTCATAAACGACCCGTCTCGCTCGTCTCTCGGTATCGAGTAACCCATCCTCTTCTCTTCCAAAACCCTAGCATTCAACCCTTGCTCCGCCAAAAATGTCAATAGTATAAGAGCTCTCCCAAACTGTATTCCCTCCACCACCGAACTCCAACCCGAGTGAGTCAAGAACCCACCCACTGAGTCATGGCTCAGTATCTTAAATTGAGGAGCCCAACCTGTGCACACCCATCCACGTCCTCTGGTTCTCTCCTCAAACCCTTCCGGCAACTCAATCACCTCCGTATCGGCCATCCCTCGCCGCTTCCTTAGAACCCAAAAGAACGGTAACTCGGATAGCTCCAACCCTAGAGCTATCTCAGTGAGTTCAGCTTGACTCGGTTTCGCCTCGCTCCCAAATGCAACATAAACCACTGACCCTTTACTCTGTTCATCAAGCCACTTTTTCATTTCCCTCCATGCAGGGTCCTCGTCATCGTCATGATAAGATATCGCCGGTAACTGACCCGCCGGTATAACCGGCTTTGGCCGGTGAATATCTCCAAGAATTCTCGACCACTCTGGTTCAAACTCATAAGAACTTCTGAGAATCATCACATCACAGTCTTCAATGCCCTTTCCTACCCGATGCACACCCGGAACGCCGCCTTCGCCGTCTCCTTCCACCTCGTCGAAAACTCGCATAATCTCAAAGAGTCAAAAAGCAACCGTTGATTTGAACGGAACCCACTTGGGCGGGACGGTGAAGTCCTCCAGCTTCTTCGGATAATCGTTTGGAGGTTCCAGCAAGAATGAAGCTGGTCCGAAATAAGTCATAGAAGAGGCAATGAAGATACAGAATAAAGCACTTGAAATGTGTAGCTTAGCTGCAATTGCACCTACCCAATAAGATATCATGTCATAGATAACCCAATCAGGAGAAGCAGCTTCTAGAAAGCTTGTCAATGGCTGTTGGAGGAGATCATAGGCTCTCTTGAGGTACTTGACCATGTGGTAAGGTAGGTCGGAGGTGGACTCGGCGTTTTCGGGGAGATTTTCGACATGGGGTAGAGGAAGTTTTACAAAGTTGATGAGAGGAGCTACGTTTGGAGGAAGTTTTGGGAGGCGATCGATGTTTCGAGGAGTGGATACGAAGGAGATTTTGTGACCCTTTTGGGCGATGAGCCTTGAGACCTCGAGGAAGGGGAGCATGTGACCGAAAGCTAACCATGGGAACATAACTATGTGTAGTTTACCAGTTTCTGACATGGTTGAGGGAGGTGTGGACTCCATGGCTAGAGAACTTGAAGCTGTTAGAGAGGTCTACTGTATCTGTTAACTAAGGCAATAGTTTCTTCTTCTTAATTTTGCTCAACAAACATCTTTTTAAAACACTTAAACTGAAAAGGTGGCATAGAATTGTTATTTAAATACTTCTAGTATATAAAAGGGTATAATTTTTCAATGGACGCAAAGTCAAAGTCGAAGAGGTAATTGTGTTTGGGTTTGTGATTAGGCGAGTGCATTGTCACAAGTGTTGGGCTTTCCACGGGAGGAGAGAGAGAAAAGGTCAGGCAAATGTGTATTTGCTTAAATGATTTGTTTGTTTATTTGTAATTAATTTAATTAAATGTGTATTTTGTTTTATTTTATTTTATTTGTATAGATGTGGATAGTAGTAATGGACTAATCTTTTGGGTCTCATAGATTACTTGGATAGGATGTTTAATGGGTACGAATAATTATCCATAAATAGTTGTATATGTATTTACACACACACATAAGGATAGTAATTTATTATTAATATTATTTTAATATTAGTATTAATAATAATATGAAATAATCTGATAAATATTTATTTAATAAAGGATATATATAAGATTATATATATATATATATATATATATACACGTATATATATATATATTTAGTTACCTTTTTAATATATTTTTCCTTTTTATTTTTATTTTTTATTTTCTTTACTAGCAGACTTAGATTCGGAAAATGATTAGGGTTATTATTATTGCCTATAAATATATAACTATAGGTTTGTAAAAGAGGGTTAGAAATATTTTCGCATAATATATAGAACAAAGAGTTTAGAGAGAGAAGGAAGAGGAAGGAAGATGGAAGCTAGGATTTCAAGTTTGAAAATCCCTAATGCAAGTTCTCTCTATTCTTTCCCTTTGATTCATAACCTATGCATGCTATATTAGTTTCAAGAATTTAATTAAATTAATTGAATATAATTGCATGAATAAAATCTGAAATTACAGTTCATGTGTTTATATTAATGGGTTTGTGTTGATTTTTCATGTTTTGATGAATTGATGCATGTATTGTGTTTTATGTTGTTCAAAGCATGTTTATATAATATATAACTGTTGTTGAAACACTCTAGGGACGTAGATTTAATCTGTAGAACTTTTAACAATGGGGATTAAAAGGGCTGAATTCGTTAGAGACGAAGAATAAGCAGGGATGCAGGGTTCGATCGATCGGTATAGGAATCGGTCGACCAGACTGGGGCTATCGACCGACCGAACAGAGAGCATCGGTTGACCGGATATGGCTTTTCAGCCGACCGAATGAATGAGTCGGTCGACCGATATTGTCTGGGACTGGATTTTTGGGGTTTTTGTATACTGTTCATGTACTTATATTGTTGGAATCTGTTTTAATAACTTTTAAATTGTTAAACTAGATTTATGGAGAATTTAAATGCATGATTTAAAGTTCGTATGCTAGGTATGGAATTTAATTAATTTAAAAGGTTAAATTAATAGTTGAATATGATTGTATTGAATTTTTTTAATCAATTGTTTAGATTTAAATGAATTTAATCAGATTATAGAGGTATACAATTTAATTGAGTTGTATGTTAATTTCTTATGATGAAAATTAAATGCATGTTACTTAGAATTGTTGTTTTTACTCAATTAAATTCAAAGGATGTATATATGATTTATATCATGTTTATTTGGATTATTAGATGTAAATATTATTTGCATTATCCTTGGATTGGAAACCTTTATTTGGTTATATTGTGGATTAATGCACTATTATGGAATGGGGGCAAAATAGGGACGGATTAACTTATATGTTAAGTCTACTTATTTATATTCTTAAGGGAACGAATTAACCTTAGAGTTAAGTCCTACTTATTTGTGTCAGGTCAATACAATAGTTGGATGACATACCATTGAAATATATGGTTTGATGGATTACTTTAGGTTTGGATAAGATGGACATTATATATGTATATAGTGTACACTATGATATGAGCTTGAGTCTCAAGATCAGTGGTTAGGGTGCGTATATTGCCAGGGATGTATAGCTAGATATAGTGATGGTTATGTGCCCTGGTAGGTTTAGGTACTCGTGCCCACTATATATGCATTTTGCATGCTACCTACTATTCAGATTGAGGCAACCCTATAGTCTAGTGAGGTTACTTTAGTGTGTATTGATGTGTGGTTTTATTTATCAATAATAAAATACCACTCGCAATAGAACGAAAACTTGTAGGATAGGGTTATGTTGAGGGTGTCGAACCTCAAGGATTATGGTGGTTTATCAAGTATTCAATTAATAATATTTTAATTTAAAAAGAGGACTTGATTTTGTGTGTTGTGATGCAATTCAATAATATAAAAGAAAATAAACGGAATAAAAGGATTGAGATCAACAGAAGAAATACTTAGGGATTGACTTCACCACGAACCATATACTATGGTTAACTGTTCAACCTTATGATTTCAATAATTATGTATCATATGGAATTAAACTCAATAACATTCGTTTAATTCAGATTTAAAGAAAGATATTTCATGAATTTCAATTAACTATAACTTATCTTCGGTTGGCACGAATTATCTATCTACCTACTTCTAACTAATTTTGCAGTATAACTCGTCTTCCCTAGGCATAGACTATAAAAATATTCGTTCAAGAAACACGTTTGAACACCATTGCATGATCTCATTCTTATGTCCGATGGGCCTCCACCAAATACTGTCCAATTAGAATGTGTTGAATATAATTTAAGAATAATTAAATCTAAGACAAAGTATTAATCATTCAAAAACTATGTAATCATTAAAAACCAATAGAATTAAGTCAATTACCCATAATCATGCAATCAAAATACATAATCTATTAAATTCCCAAAGTATAGAACAATCAAACCATAGTATTCGGATTCGGGCTACATTAATGCCCTAAGAGAGGAATTAGCTACTCATGACGACGCAAGATATCATCTGTGTTGTTGTGGTCTTCATCACCATGGACTGCCAAAACTCCTTTTGGATCTTCTTCTTCAAAACCCTAAAAGCCGTTATGTGAGAGAGAGAGAGATAGATGGAATCAAAACTATTTTCCTTGTGACATTTCCTCTTCTTTTATAGGAGAAAATAAGTCTTAATCCCCTTTGGATAGGTTTTCTAGCTTTTGGTAACAATTGGGCTCATAAGGAAATAAAGAAGGGTGATTTTACGCAATTCCTGCATGTATTTTAAACCTTTAGGATGCCAGAGCTCGAGCTCTGGAGTTAGGGCTTGGACTTAACTTGTCAGTAACTCATTCTGATGTTGTAATGCGATTTTGACCCATTTAGAGCATGAATCTTTAGATTGCTATTACAGACAAAAACATTAGGCTTCGAGTCTTCTTTCCAAAGCCACTGAGTTTGCTCAATTTGGAGTTTTGAGTAAAAATTTATTTTCAAAAACTAAAGTAGGTATAGAGTTTTCAACAATGCTTGAGCCCTGAATGGTTGTGCTCGAGCTTTCTGAGTTGGGTTCGAGTTCTGGGAGCAAAATTTGTCCGAAACGTCTTTTTATTGATGGTGCTCGATCCCTCCTTCATGGTGCTCAATCCTAAGGTGTTGGGCTCTAGCTTTGGGGCTGTGGTTCGAGCTTCTTGAACATGTGCTTAACCCCATGTTGCTTGGCACGGGGTCCTAGGATTTGAAACAACTTTTCACATTCCGTTGCATCATATGCTCGAGCTCTTAGGCAATGGCTCAAGCACCTTGTGGTTGGGCTCGAGCACTAGAATTCCTAGCTCGAGCTTTCTTGCCTTGGTGGAATTTCTTGTTTTTACCTATTGTGCTCGAATCATAGAACTAAGGCTCGAGCTTCTGAACTTGAAGTTTTCCAAAATTCACCATTTTGACTCTTGGCTTGCTTCGGATGACTGGCAACAATGCGGTAAACTTCATTATCATTCTTTTCATCATAAAAGCCCGGTTTTACTTGCTTCTTTGGGAAAACACTTGAAAACATAAAATAAATATGAATCAATATAAAACAGGATAGATGCATCACTTTAGGTCTTAACATACGTATATTTAGGAACTTGAATATGCAATATTCAACGCTCATCACACCCCCAAACTTACATTTTGCTAGTCCCTTAGCAATACAGAACTAAAAAAGCCACTTTTGTGAGAATCATGGTTGCATTTAGCTTATGCAACAAGTTTTTAAACCCCTAGGTTATCCCTAGTGGATTGTAGTCTCGTGAGGGTTTCCAGCGCAGATACTCACAAACTTCTCAAATTAGTGCATTAATTGCACGGTAAGCTCATTTAAACCTATTTTCATATCATAATGTCCCAACCATATATCAATCAGTTAACTACAACAAGTATAAATAATTCTATTAAACAAGAAATCTCAAACTCTCAATATCATATCAATAGCCATGGTCCCCATATGTCAGTTTAATTACATATTTAACAATCTCGATCCCCAAAATCCTTTTTAATAGTGAACTCACAATTTTAAACATGTGGCCTACTATCCATACTTATATTTATTCAACGTTATTCCTCAATTTACAAGTAACTTTTCAAATTCTGATCCCCAAGGTATATTTTTCTAATTTTCTATCGGTATGCAATTTTTTCATTTATGATTATTTCTGGTGCCGTTGCCAGGGAGATTTGTTTATTTGTTTAGTTTTTAATTAGTTCATTATTATTTTTGGTTTAGTCTTCGGACTTTCTGATATCTCACCTTAATTCTTCTTCTTTTCAAGTGCATGAATTTAGAAGTGAGGACAAAGACGCTTAAGGGATAGGAAGCTTCGGTTTTTTTAAAACCTTTTGTGAGTTTTTACTATTTTCTTTTGCTTGGAATTTTTATTTTTGTTACTGTTGTTGCGAAAATCCTCGCGACTCAGAACGACGGCGTTTATTTACAAAACAAAGGGACGTCACCTCAAATGGCACCGGTGGGGTGCCAGTTGAGGACCCTCCGACAATCAAGTTAATACTTGTAATCGTA